TCACAGATCATAGTTAAGTGCCTCAACTAACTGAACATAGGTGAAAAAAGAAGTTATTGTGAGTTTTTCCTTTTAGAATCTGTCTTTATTAACTATTTTTTTATTTAAGCCCATTTTAATTGATCAGCCTTTTTATTAGAGGTGTACACAAATGTCTGATGTGTAATGTGATACAACCAAAATCACAGGTGACCAAAAATTCTAAAACTCTTCTTTCTCAATAATGTTAATTCTAACAAAAATGTTGAGCAACATCTGCAGAACTGACAATCTGTTATTGATGATGCATATATTTAAATGGAGATTTATGAGTTGAACAGAAAAAGTTATGAAAAATTTCTGATCCTCAGCCCACCCACCTATTTGTCATTGCATTACACTGACAAATACTTGTGGCAACTTTATGACCTCCTTCTGTGCTCAGGAGTCAGAATGAGGTAGAGCTCTGTGGCTGCAGGAAACCAACATATTGATCGCATTTGTCTTTGGGAAGCCAAGGCAAAGCACGTGGAATTCATATGAAGCACAAAGAGGGCTATATGAAATAAAAATTACAACTGAGACCTGTGATTTCAACAATCAATGTAATAATAGTAAAAATAATAACCTGAATTTGCAACTAGGACATTTTAATCTGCTCTACTAAATATTGTCAATAAACTAAAACTGATGTGTTTTGTGCATTTTTTGTTTTGCTGAATTTTTGCTTCATTGACTTTAAGTACAGTCAAAGTCAATATATTTATACGTCTGTAAAATTATAACTGTGTGATAGTTAAATTAGGCGCACCTCCTGTTGCAGCTCCCATGCACATCTCATCTGCTCACATGTGAATGTCACCAGTAAAATAAAATAATTTAAAATATGGTTTAAAAAGAAGCTATTACATTGTTGACAATTTATAAAACCGACTTAAAAGCTGATCATAATAACATCCTTACAAAGGTGGCAGTTTTTTTACTGGTTCTCCTTCAGAGAAGGCTTCAGTCTGGATCCAAAGATGTTGAGATTTTGCACAATCTGTCATGGCGTACTCAGAAATTAGTTTACAAGTAGACTTGAGTTAAAAGTGTGGGCCTCCAAAAAATTAACAAAACATATAAAGCTACACAACTTTTGGAACAATAGTTTCTAAAACTATTCAGCCTCTGACCCACAAGTATGGGAATAATATTGTGCCAGCAGGAACTGAATTTGAATTGCTCAGATTGAATCTGACTGTGCATAATTTGAAATTGAATGCATTGGTTTGAAAATGAATTTCACTAAATGGAAAGTGAATTTAATGGTTTGAAACTGAATTTAATGTTTAGAATTGGAATTAATTTGCTTTGAAATTGTATTTTGTTCAATTAAAAATTCAGTTTGTCTACTTTCACTTTCAGTTCTTCAATTCAATTTCAGTTCTAAAATTCTAATTTTTTTGCCGCACATTCGGGTCCTTGAGAAAGCCAGCCCGAGTAATCAAACACAGATCGTCAGATTTACGTTTCACGTTGATGCAATCCATCGTAAAAGTGGCAAAAAACAGGCAATTTTATTGCAGTGATTAATTTTGCCTATAGAAAATGTTACATTTACATCACATCATGGACCAGTCAGCAGCAGGTGATCTGCAGCTGAGAGCCATGTTATCAGAGGACTGATCCATCTGTCAGGGCTTGGGACCAGGAAGGAGCTCAGAGCAGAACCCGCTGTGCATCAGAGTCCCTGGATCCCCCTGCATTGTCAAATAAGACTCTGTTCGGTTCTGCTCACAGGTGGAGGTGGAGGTGTGTCTCCACAGGTCAGCTGCAGGCAGGTCAGCATCGTCGTGACCGGACTTTTTTTTTTTTGACTGGTAGACTGCGGAACACAGCTATGTCAATTTAGCAAATTAATTGATATATTTAGCAAGTTTTTAGACGCTCTGCTGACTGCTTTGAAGAAAATCAAGCAGCAAAAATATATATAGTGACTTCTGCTGTTAGTGAGACTTCCTGGAGAAAGGTGCTGCTGGAGACGCTGCAGTCTGGAGGGAGCAGGACAGTGTTCACTGTGAAAAGTGACAGCCTCATAATCTCCATGGGTGCTCTTGTATATGGTTCAACTCGGCTCGGTCTCGGCCCAATGCATCTCTCCAAGCGCACTCTACAGCCGCGCAGTTTCAGAACCTCCTCTCCGGTGGTTCGGTTAGAAGCGAGTACAGCAGCTACGATTTTGACGTCAGCAGAATTCTGCCTGTGGATTATCTCTTGGATGGACTGACAGCAAATTTCCTCCTGGAGAGAGCTGCTTTTGTTTAGGAATACGAGCGTGTGGCACGATACGACAACATGGTGAAATAAAACTGCCTTTTTGTGAAAGGCAGAACTTGTAAACACTTCCCTGGAGAGAGGTGAAGGAGACGAAGCTGAGCAGATCACGGGAGATTTCCAACAAACTGGCTTCTCACGGTTACACAAGCACTTAGCTATAAACAGCACC